TGTTACTAAGACCTAGTGCTTGATGAGTTCAGAGTATTTCTCTAGATTGCACTTCTCTAACTTTCGCTTTACCCTCTCGTCCTCAACATTGAGCTCTGGTCGAATGCCTGAAAAGCAACACAAGGAGAGCAAATGTTAGAAAGGCGACTCAACGATTCCCAAACCAGAGCTCAATCAGTTCGAGCAAGAGCTCACCTAAGTTATTAAGGGCGGACCAAGTTCTAGGGATACCCAGAGTATCAGTCCTGTCAGCAAGGTTGTACTCCCAGTTGGTGCCCCCAACAAAAAAAAAATTATTTCTACCAACCCTTATGAGAGCTCGGGAGATGAGTAATGATTTGCCTAGTCGTGGTTCGCTTGGAGATATATAAGAAACCCTCTGATGAGGTGAGCTTGACATTAAAGAGATCCACAAGTAAGGAAAGGTTGGGGACCCTGAGTCCATGAATCTTGAATAAAACTAGAAGACCCACAAGTACACCCCAGAAATTAGGGGAGAGCTGAGCAGGGCAGACATTGAAGTGTTGCAAAACACTCTTGATGAAAGGATGCATAGGGAAGCGAATACCATTCTCAAAAGGGGCCACAAAGAAACATACTCTCTTATGAACTTGGGCAACGTATGGGGTGTATTTATCTAGACACTAGGGCTGGACACCAGGAGAAAAACCGTAATGAGTACTGAGAATTCTCACATGAGAAGAGTCAACCTCGCTAGGTCCTACGAGCTCAGCATGCCTAAAGGCGGCCCCTGTGCCCGCTGCGCTATCAAAGACTCCTATCCCACTCACTTTGCCCTTACCTTTGTTAGGATTAGGGGGCACAGAAGAAGACGATGGGGATGGTTCCTCAGTATTTTCCTTGGCAACGACAGCATCCACACCGGGAAAATTTTTGATTTTCTTGCCTGCATCCCCTAAATCAGTGTCCTCTTCGGCAGACCTTTCCCCCAAGAGAGAAGCAGAGGAGCGTGTAACTCTAAAAGGAGTAGACATGACTGGACAGGAGAAAGGTAAACTGAAAAATGGTAGAGAGGAGGAATACTAATTAAGCACTCCCTAATAACCCTAGGGTCACCGCAGTAGCTTCCAACAGCAAGGATTCGCACAATAGAAGACCAATCCACGAAATGGGGGAGAGGAGACAAGTAGTAATTTCGATTCCAAAAGTAAAAGAACCAAAAGGCCCAGAAATGCAATGGCCACCTCGAATTCGAGGGATCTAGAAGGAGAAAAGGTGAAAAAGGGACAAAAGGACGTACTTAGGTGGGAAAGAGCAACGAAAAGAAGCCTAGAGCGAAATGGAAGAAAGAGGGCAACGTGAATCTTCAAATCGAACCCACAGAACTAGATCTTGAACGAGGAATCAGAGAATTCCAAACCAGAAAGTCAAGAAATCGCAAGAAGAAAGAAGCAGCAGAGAAGTTGAACAGTGGAATAGGGCGGTTCAGATAGCCGTTTGAGCATTTAAAGCCTGAGAGACGTGGACTAAAATATGCACGGGAAATGAGAAAACCATAATTGCTGAAAATCGTCAAAAAGGCCTAACTCACGTGCAAGGCAAGGTGAACCACGTGCAGATCCTGCTCGGTTTAAAAAACAGCTCAACCTCTGCCCAAGCCCGCTTGAACTAGGAGCTAGGAGCTAGGGGCAACTGGTGATACCTCAAACAAATCCTAGCTGTGAGCTCAGGTCAGGAGGTCAGGAAAGATACAAGGAACTTAGAGAACTAGGGGTGGAGCTCCCCTTGGGGAGATCGTAGCTGAACTGACCAGAAAACAGCTGGATGACTGCGAAAATTGGGCCTCATGCATGAAACTCTCAACCAAGCAAGATTCTTTCCTAAAATCAAGGAGGATCCCATGAATAATGGGCAAAGATCTTGGCTTAAATCCCACGGAATAGGGGCAACCTTATAAATACTATGTAACGCCTCAACAAGGGGCAGAGAACAAAAAAAGAGCCCTAATTGGATTATGCACTGTCTTGTATTACATTCAAATAATCAATAGAGAAGAAAAGGAGCAAGAGCCTCCATTTGAGAGTGGATTAGCCGAAGCTTTAGAGCCGGTGAAAAACTATATTCCTACTGTGCAAATTTTCTTATCCCCTAAGAAACACTTCATCACTGCCATTACGAAGTTGGCAGCCTAACTTCACCGTTGGTCCCACGCACTCTGTTCACTCACATTAGTCTGCACCATAAGATTTAATTTTTTTTATATTCCTTGAGGGTTAGTCACATTGGTCCCATTAAGGGACATGCTCTAACCCAACTCAAACCATTATAGTCAATCGCTAAACTTAAGAAAATAATTGGCGTAAATTTAAACACTCTGTCACAAAAAACAAAATTGTACGTGTCACCTAGTAATTGGTTTTTCAATGAACTGAATACTTTCCCGTAAATTGAATGGTTTACGGGAAAGTCGAACATTTAAATATCTATTTGGCTCTTGAACTATATCGTTCGTGTTAATGAAATTCTTAAATTATATTTTGTGTCAATTTAACTCATNGGAAAGTCGAATATTTAAATATCTATTTGGCTCTTGAACTATATCGTTCGTGTTAATGAAATTCTTAAATTATATTCTGTGTCAATTTAACTCGTGAACTATGCAATCTAACTCGATACAGTCCTTCTATCAAAATTTACCATTAATTTTGACAAAAATCTTTACGTGCACATTACGTGAGAAAGAGATTGAATTATAATTCAGGGTTCACATAATGAGCATGTGAGGGTTTCTGTCAAATTTAACAATAAATTTGGACAGAAGGATCACATTGAGATAAATTGTATAATTTAGATGTTAAATTGACACAAAACATAATTGAGTTTAATTGACACAAATGATATAGTTCGAAAACTAAATAGGCAGGTAAATGATTTATTTTCGAATTGAACCATCTGGTTTATGGGCCACCAATTACAAGGTGACACATCAACAATTTTTATTGACAATAGGCTCATTTGAGCTAGCTTTTTTAGGTGAAAAACAGAGTTTTGAAAGATTTCGGAAAAAAAAAAAGATGTTAAAAAAGTCTCCCAAAATTGTTTGAGATATTCTTTAAAAAACTGAAAAAATTTGAAAAAATTCATTTTTAGAGTGACTTTTAAGATNTTATGGGCCACCAATTACAAGGTGACACATCAACAATTTTTATTGACAATAGGCTCGTTTGAGCTAGCTTTTTTAGGTGAAAAACTGAGTTTTGAAAGATTTCGGAAAAAAAAAAAAGAAGTTAAAAAAGTCTCCCAAAACTGTTTGAGATATTCTTTAAAAAACTGAAAAAATTTGAAAAAATTCATTTTTAGAGTGACTTTTAAGATTTTTTTTTGTCAAAATAAAAAATTAATTATATATATGTATAGATTATGCATAATAGTTCATAAAATATGAATTTTAATTTTTTTTACATCACTAGTAATATTTTATGAATATAATAAATTAAAAAGTTATGTAAGATCCTCGACAAAACTTTAAAAAATTAAAAAAAAAAATTATAAAATTAATTTTTTGAATCAATCNTTTACATCACTAGTAATATTTTATGAATATAATAAATTAAAAAGTTATGTAAGATCTGCGACAAAACTTTAAAAAATTAAAAAAAATATTATAAAATTAATTTTTTGAATCAACCTAAATAATTCTTTTTAGGTCTAAAAAATTGCTGAATAAGCCGATAAAAAGTTAAAGGCTTAAAAAATTAATTGTTGAATTTTAAGTGTTAAGTAGTGTTATCAAATAGCCCTTAGGTGCCATCTTAACAATTCTTAGCTCTAATATTTCTAAACGTAATGGTTCCAAAATTAGGTGANTAAAAAATTAAAAAAAATATTATAAAATTAATTTTTTGAATCAACCTAAATAATTCTTTTTAGGTCTAAAAAATTGCTGAATAAGCCGATAAAAAGTTAAAGGCTTAAAAAATTAATTGTTGAATTTTAAGTGTTAAGTAGTGTTATCAAATAGCCCTTAGGTGGCATCTTAACAATTCTTAGCTCTAATATTTCTAAACGTAATGGTTCCAAAATTAGGTAATGTCTATGGTATTGAGAAGTTTTTTTTCTAGGTACGGTATTATCATTATAAATTTTGTGATTTATTTTATAAATTTTAAGGGTCATTTACAAGTTTAGAGGATCAATTATAATTTTTGAGGTTATTTGTAATGAATTCTAAAATCTTTAGATCCTAAATGATGGTANAATTAGGTAATGTCTATGGTATTGAGAAGTTTTTTTTCTAGGTACGGTATTATCATTATAAATTTTGTGATTTATTTTATAAATTTTAAGGGTCATTTACAAGTTTAGAGGATCAATTATAATTTTTGAGGTTGTTTGTAATGAATTCTAAAATCTTTAGATCCTAAATGATGGTACAAAAGTTGTAAATGACCCTAAAGGTTGTAATTTGAACCATAAAAATTGTAAAATGATCTAAAAAGATGTAATTTATATTTATAATAAACAAACCTAAAACTTGTAAAATTTATTGGTAGGGTACCAAAATTTTTTGTTTAGCACCGTAGTCGACTCCCAAAATTATGGAAAAACATCTATGGCATGAAAATTAATCTGAGAAGTGAGAAGAATGCAAAAATAATTATTAAAATAAATTACAAAAGTGGATTTTCCAAAAATAAAAAATAAATAATACAGTAGCTCTGAAACTCTTAATAAATTTTTTGTTTCCAAATTCAATTTTTGGTGGTGCATTTTTTAAAGAGGAAAAAACACGTAACTCTTTGCTGACTGAGGCTACCGTTGGATTCTTCAGAGTTATAACGCCACGTATGTAATTACATGATTTTTGCCCGTTAATAAAGTATCTTTCAATAACTTTTTCAAATATTTTTCTGGTGCTTTAGACTAGAGTAAGGCACAACTCAGACACCAAGAAAAGCTGGTGGACCCAGAAATCTTTTTAACGGCTAGTTTCCAGCAATTTGTCCCTATATATAGACTATAGAGACCTCACTGGCTCACCACCACCACCTTCTGTCTCTTTCTTGCTCTCGGATACTAACGTAAAGCAGCTAGAAGCTTTTGGATACTTGGACATGGCTGGTTTTCCAAGAGCTGCATGTATTTCACTCTCTCTGCTATGTGTCCTCTTCTTCAGCTTCTCAGAAGCTAGAGACCATTTGGTCGGTGGCAAAACAGATGCGTGGAAGATCCCTTCTTCTGAATCCGACTCTCTCAATCAATGGGCTGAAAAGTCTCGTTTCCTTATTGGCGATTCGCTTGGTATGTATATTCTCCATCTCCATTTCCAAAGCTCAAATTCTCTCTTCCTCTCTCTCTCTCCCGGCACACACATACTAATTCGAGTGATTATGCGTGTAATAACCGGGTCGAAAAATTATGTTTGCGCATCGTTCTATCTCTTTTCAATATAAAATTTACTGCTAGTGATCAATTTTGGTGTACTACCTATTTCTCTCTCTCTCTCTCTCTCTCTCTGTATGTGTAACTTACCCATTTCATGTTTTGCTATGTATCAGTGTGGAAGTATGACAGCAGTATAGATTCAGTGTTACAAGTGACCAAGAGGGACTATGTGACCTGCAACACTTCTAGTCCCATAGAAGCATACAAAGATGGGAATACCAATGTGAAGCTGGACCGTTCAGGACCTTTCTACTTCATCAGTGGATCCGAGGGACATTGCGAGAAAGGCCAGAAATTGATTGTGGTGGTCATGTCCGAGAAACACCGGAGATTCATTGCCATTTCTCCGGCTCCTTCTCCAGTGGAGTTCGAGGGTCCGGCCATTGCTCCGGCAAGTGGTGCTACTACCTTAAAGGGCAGTTTGGGGGTGACGCTGGGAGTGATAGTAGGAGTTGTGTTGATGTGAGATTGGTTAATTAGTTTATTGGATGATAATGATGGTTTAGTCTAAATATTTGTCGATGACACACAGGCATTTCTGTTGGGGTCAATTTTTTTGTGGGGTCTTATTTCTGGACTCGAATCATTGTGTATTTGAGATTATATACAGCAATAATATGAATTATTTTTTCTTTTCTGGTCTATTTCATGGTCCTATACAATTTTCTCGGTTCTTTACAAGAAAATACCTATTATTGTAGTTATACCAAAAGAATGGTTAATTTCGTTGATGGAAAACGCTTTTTAAATATAATTGAATGAAAGAATGGGTAAATTGAATGAAGTAAATGTGTTACACACCCGGTGCGTTTCAAAAAATAGTATTCGAAAACAGTTTTTAAAAAAAAATTTAAAAAAGTAGTTTTGATATTTTTTAAAATAAAAAACTTATTCGGTATATAAATGATTTCAAAAACAATTTTACAATACCGAAAACAATTTTGTAAAACTCCTTGTTTCCAAAATTTTCAAAAAAAACTCTGAAATCAAGCTACACTTGTTTTCTGTTTCTTTAACTCAAATCTCATTTATTTCCAAAATTTAGAGAACAAAAAATACTAAACAAACAGGTTTTTAGTGTTTTTGAAATTTTGAGAAAAAAAAACTGTTTTCGGATCACAAATCATTCAATCAATGAACGAACAATTAATTTGATTACAAAACTGTTTTCGATGAACGAACGATTAATTTGATTAATAATGTTGATGAATGATCAATAATTGTATAAAATACCAAATTTTGTTAAAAACATTCGATCAATCGAATAAATAAAATAGTTAATATTGAAATCAGAATAAGAATTGCATAAACATAATAAACTTAATAATCAATTTACAAATCCATCAACCCTAACTAGAAAGTGAAATATATATGAGGAATGGGGGGTGTCGGTGCAATTTGATCAAATGTTTACGGCTAATATTGTTGAAGGATAATTGAAGGGCACTTCTTGTTACTTGTAAGATAGTTTACAATTTAAACTCTAAAAGTATGCAAATAATTTTTATTTGATCCTTAAAATTTTAATTGTTACAATTACATTTTTAAAGTTGTAATCAAATTTCAATTTAGTCATTCCATCTAGATCTATTAATTTATTTTGACAAAAAAAGGTCATAGAACTTGCCCTTAAGGGTATATTTTGTCCTGCATAAAATATCTCTATCAAATATATTGATATTTCTCTCTTTGTCTCATAATTTCTCCAAAATTATGACATACTTTTTTTTGGTTTATTATCATTTTTTTCCTCAAAATCGAAAGAAATAAAATAAGGTTCTTTAGCCTGCAAGTAACAAAATTTTCACCAAGCAAATATAGCTTTTTACCCAATCATGTATTGATCACGAAAAGACTATTCCATCATAATTATAAATTTATACTTTATTCCAACTTTGATTCAAACTTGTTACAGAAAGCACAATATCAAATAGTACTCTTATTAATACCATTTATATGAATTAAATAGAACCAATTACTCTCATACCCCAAATTCTACAAACAAGTATGAACTAATTACCATCTATCAAACCATGAGAGTNCACCGGAGATTCATTGCCATTTCTCCGGCTCCTTCTCCAGTGGAGTTCGAGGGTCCAGCCATTGCTCCGGCAAGTGGTGCTACTACCTTAAAGGGCAGTTTGGGGGTGACGCNCCAAATTCTACAAACAAGTATGAACTAATTACCATCTATCAAACCATGAGAGTATAACTAACTACCATAAAATTTAAATAAAAATCAATCACTAGTCTTATCTAACTAAACAAATCCCAAAGAATAAAACTCAACCACCAAGGTTACATCTAAAACCTTTAAATAAACCAAATATCTCATTCAACTAAATAATATTAATTACATTCCTCCATCATGAACCAATGGAACTACATGGAGATAAATATAATTCTAAGCCTCGAAAGTTGGATCCACATTTCGATCCACCTTAACATCTAAATCTACCTGTCCACCTAGAGTTANTATACAATTTTCTCGGTTCTTTACAAGAAAATACCTATTATTGTAGTTATACCAAAAGAATGGTTAATTTCGTTGATGGAAAACGCTTTTTAAATATAATTGAATGAAAGAATGGGTAAATTGAATGAAGTAAATGTGTTACACACCCGGTGCGTTTCAAAAAATAGTATTCGAAAACAGTTTTTAAAAAAAAATTTAAAAAAGTAGTTTTGATATTTTTTAAAATAAAAAACTTATTCGGTATATAAATGATTTCAAAAACAATTTTACAATACCGAAAACAATTTTGTAAAACTCCTTGTTTCCAAAATTTTCAAAAAAAACTCTGAAATCAAGCTACACTTGTTTTCTGTTTCTTTAACTCAAATCTCATTTATTTCCAAAATTTAGAGAACAAAAAATACTAAACAAACAGGNATCCATCAACCCGCGGAATATCCCTAGATACCGTGTAATTCGATACCACACCGTTTCGTCCCATTTATCGGGATTCATAACTCAACAAAATTTGGGCAGAGTCTCCTTTATATGGGGAGCTCTACCTAAAACGCAACCTGTGCAATCATATAACTTTGACCACACTGAGTTTATTTATCCATACTCAATTACATAGTATCGGATACTACCATAATCATCATCACTACGTATATTCATTCATAAAAGAATAAATGTCTCATATACATGCCTTTTAAATATAAGCAAGTTTTTGCTACAAAAAATATAAAAGGCCAAAAGTAAACATATACAAAGGACTACGATGTTANTTCGGATCACAAATCATTCAATCAATGAACGAACAATTAATTTGATTACAAAACTGTTTTCGATGAACGAACGATTAATTTGATTAATAATGTTGATGAATGATCAATAATTGTATAAAATACCAAATTTTGTTAAAAACATTCGATCAATCGAATAAATAAAATAGTNGTACCTGAAAATTGTTCCCATAAAGGGTGAGTCAATGTTTAATAGAGTAACTCGTATAAAAAATACATCTCAACCCAAATGCATATGAAATGTTACGTGCAAAATCATTTGATGCATTCATTCAAATATGTTTATTATGAATAAATGTCATAAATCATGTCATGCCATGAGATGAGACTCACACAATCAATACTAGGGCATTCCAACACATGCAATGACATGCGTATATATTAGGGCATTCCAAGCCCCCGTCATTGGTGTTATGTACATTCAATGACTAATTAATTCATTTTCTTGTGTCTTTGTGAGGAGATGATTTATGGTATTACAATAATTAGACACCATACTATCAACGAATTTTCAGGACATCCCACATGCGACTCCATTTTCGCTGTTACACTTTTCTGGAATTGCACAGCCAGAAAGTGTATACACCAAGTAAGCGGGTTTTGAACCCGAGAGAGAATCTATCTTTTTTTGCTATATTCCGACANCATTTTCGCTGTTACACTTTTCTGGAATTGCACAGCCAGAAAGTGTATACACCAAGTAAGCGGGTTTTGAACCCAAGAGAGAATCTATCTTTTTTTATTATATCCCGATACGTTTATCCATTTTATTTCGCGTGCGACTCAGCCGGACCTTGGTGCGACTTTTCCGAGCCGACGATCAACCACCTATGTGGTGATTAATTTCATACCATCCACATACTCCCACTCATGTCAATGCCCATGAATGTAGTGCAACTCATTCATAATGCAATATAATGTGCAATTGACTTGATACCATTTATAATATCTATTATATAATGAATGCAATATAATGACATTTTCAACACTATCCTAAGCATGTTATGTAAGATAATTAACGCAACTAACATACTTGTATTCACCTAGACATTTAAACAAACACCTAGAGGGCACGTCAATTTACACAACTAGCATGTTTATTACTTCCAATATGACAACATGTTTATTAATTCTATAAACATAAGCACAAGTCTACCACACTAATCATATGCTAAATAATCATTCAACATACATATTATTTCATAATCACATAAAAAACTAATAATTTTATTAAACTTGATATGCTATTAAAACATTAAGTTATACTAATGGACAATTAACATGCTTTAAATCACTAACATTAACATACACCAAGTTAATTATAATAGAATTTTACTAATTATAAGGTTAATTATAAATCCTATATTTGACCCACTAGTTACACTAGTCAAGACCTAACATAAAATATTCATTCTTAGTCTACCCATTTCATTTGCCATATTTTATGTTAAAATTACATCTAAATAGGGAAAACCCTACATCTCGTAGCGTGAGCCCACGTAGTAAAACTTCAAGGAAAGCCTGAATTTAGCTTCCCAAGTTTTAGTTCTAAATTCTCATCTTTGATATTTTTGGAGAAAAATGCGATCTTTGGTATGATTGCGTAACTCTCGTTGCGTAAAACAACTTTAATTCTTAGCCCGAAGCGATTAAACGGTTTAATCTTCGTAGATCTAAGAAGGAAGGAAGGAGAAAAAAATAAATAAAAAACTCACTTTTCTCTCTCTCACTCTCTCGACAGGTTGCTGGAGAAGAAAAACAAAGTGGAAGACAAAAAAAGTCTTCCATCTTATATAGTCTAAATGTGTGGCCCACATCGCGCCACATGTCCAATTTTATTCAGAGTCAATTAAATCTTGTCTCGTGTTAAGTTTTGTATATTTTTATTGAACTAATTTTAAATTATTTTTCAGGTCCTGCGAATAAAATCTGATCGAAATTATTTAGTTACGTGGCACCCGATTGCGTTGTAATATGTGAAAAATTCAACTATCTCAGAATTTTACAAAAATTTACTGGGTAGCTAGATTTCGCGAGACGAATTCAAAGGTGAGGTCTGTTTCGTCATATGAATTATATGAAAATTCATGTTTTTGACCTGTGCTTTAATAATTAATTACCATTTTACCCCATTTAATTAGGATTTTAATANTCTGCCTTAATGACAGAGGCTTATGCAGTCAGGCGAGTGTGCAAGACTGTTGTGGAACAGAACTATGGTGCAGTCATTGTTGAATCTGACTCAAAGCAGCTCCGTGATTCTCTCAATGGGAACAATGAGAATACTTTGAAGGGGATTGCAGCTTTACAAAAGAACATATAGAACAATGCTCAACTACTTTCAGTGGTGAATATTCAGGCAACACGAAGGACCCAAAACAAGG